ACCTGAGTTAGAGTTAGCAACACTTTCCTTAGTTACCTTGTAGGAATAAGACACACAAAAAAATATGTTTTCTTCAATACAAAGATATCAAGTAGATCTCACAACCTAAATCCCAGGAGAATTGTTGGAAACTTGTTTCATTTTGGCTTCCAAAGCAATAAACAAAGGTTTATGTGAGAAAACAAAATAAAAATAGAAACGAAGTTTGTTGGGTTTCATCCAAATGAAACTCAAACTGGCCTGTAAAGACAATCAAGCTAAAAGGAAATTACATCTGTCATGTTGGTTTGACATCACATCAAGACTATTGAGATAACACATTTTTATGGGTAATGCCCTCAAAGTTTTGATATTCTTGATTTTATGAAGATAATACTGATGATAAAAACAAAAGAAAACAAAGCAAAACAGTAAAATTTTATCATGGCATTGTTTCTATTACAGCGTTCTATAAATTTTCCCTCATGTTGGAAACTTGGACATATTTAAATATCAGTGCAGAAAAGTTTATTATCACATCCCTGATTATGTCAACCTAAATTTTTTTTATTTGGACATAATATTTTAGGAAAAAATAATTAAATTTGAACAGCTTCTGTAGTACCTATTTTTGGTAACGATAATGAAAAAAATATTTTTATATATTATTTATTTGTTTGTAATTTATTTATTTTGAAAGAGAGTGAGCAAGCAAGAGAGAATGAGCAAGGGAGGTGCAGAAAGAGAGGGAAAGAGAAAGAATCCCAAGCAGCCTCTTCAGTGCAGAGCCCCACACAGGGCTTGAACTCAGAAATTGTGATATCATGACCTGAGCTGAAGTCAAGAGTCCAACTCAACAGACTGAGCAACTCACGTGACACTATTTATTTATTATTTTTATTTTAGCAAGAGAGACAGTGCAAGCTGGGGAGAGGACAGAGGGAGAGAGAATTTTAAGCAGGCTCCGCGCTCAATATGGAGCCTGACACAAGGTTCGATCCCATGATCCTGGCATCATGATGTGAGCTGAAATCCAGAGCCTGAAGCTCAACCAAATGAGTTACCCGGCACCCCAGTATTTTTACTACTAAATTACTATGAAATTTATATGTAAATTTATTCTAAATGAAATTATTTTTCAAAGTTAACATTTGTGAATTAGAATTTATATTATAATATGAATGATACATTTCAGCACTCAAAAACACTGTACACATATTTCTTGATTACAAAAAATGAGATGTGTTTGTTTTATTGGAGGAAAAAAAAACTTTTAAATTTCAAACACAAAATCTTCAGATATGTTTTTTCAGTAATGCTATTTATTGTGTTCATTTTCACATTTGGTAAATAATAGTAAATATTTTCAACTGATAATTCTCCAATTATCTAAAAATATATATTTTTGTTAACATATTTGACTCTAAAGGGAAAAATTTCTTTTATCTAAAAGAGCTTATAAAATGAGAGCACAGATAAAATTTGGTATTGTCAGTGATCATTCTTTGTTTTCTTCAGCATAACTACCACATCCTTCTGTTTCCTGAGGTTAACTCTAAATAATAATAGAAGAAATCGCTATTCATTCATTACTAACGTTGGCTTTCCTTTTTTCTTTTGAATAATAAGTTTAATATATTTGAACTCTAAATTCAACTATGACTAAAATAATAATTTCGCTAAATCATTTTCACAGAGGTCAAAATATTTCTTAAAATCACAAAAGGAAATTCAGCATCTGAAACATAAACACAAGGTATTATCAATACGTGGGAGGCGTGTTTAAGGCAGAATAGGATTTAAGCAATATTTTAACATTGTTATTAACCTGATTCTAGAAAAAGACAATTTGAGGCTCCTAGATCTAAGGTAGTACTTTAAATCCTGTAAGTCTAATTACGCAATAAAATTTCAAAATATTGTAATGCAAGTAAAAAAATCCCTCTAAAATGTAACCAAATGATGAAAATATATATTAAAAAGTATCATTCAAACTGCCAAAGGCATTTTTACATACAAATCATGTTTTATTATAAACAGATATTAGGATACACAGTCATTTTAGGTGGAGACCTAAAATATTATGTTTTCCAGTGACAGTTAATTTTCTTTCTCTTTTTCCATAACTTCAATCAATATTATAATGGTGTCTGTGTATTTTAAATGTTCAGGCTTTTATCTGGATTCTTCTATCAAAATTTTAGAAGCAAGCAGATAATGTCTTCCTTGACGATCTCCAAGACTCCTCAAAATCAATATATCTACAATATCTTCTTGTCTTTCAATTTAAAAATGCCAAATGTACTCTAATCTGGCTAGTTCTCACTATATCCCAATAGTAAAACTATACTTGTATTGATTTCAAATATACTGTTTTAACCTTTAGCTTCTCCCCTTTCTAGAACATATTACATTTCTAGACAAATTTTTCAAAAATTGTTGTTCATTATGTCATTCTCTTGGTCAAGAAAATATTGAAGGTTCTTGCTATCTTTCTGAAAAATTAATCAAATATTCAAAAATTACCATACAGTGTGCCTATCTGGACTCATCCCCAATTTTTACTTTATTTTTTTTAAATTTTTTTAATGTTTTATTTATTTCTAGGAGAGAGAGAGAGAGAGAGAGTGAGCAGGGGAGGGTCAGAGAGAGAGGGAGACACAGACTCTGAAACAGGCTCCAGGCTCTGAGCTGGCAGTCAGCACAGAGCCAGACGCGGGGCTCGAACCCACGAACCGCGAGATCATGACCTAAGCGAAAGTCGGACGCTTAACCGACTAAGCCACCCAGGCACCCCTCCAATTTTAACTTTAATGATATATGTCTTAAAGGCTACTCTCTAATCCATCACCCTCAATTTTTTTTTTAATATGAGACTTAGCATAGTATTATAGTAAGCACATGTACTCAAGTAGAGCCTTGTGTGAGAGTCTTCTGGGGTATTGGGGGCCAGAAGTGACTTACAATGCTGTCAATAGGAGTTAAGAAAGAATGACATCACCAAAATGGTGGAGCAGGAGACCCTGGGCTCCAATCCTGGACAAAGATCAGCAAGTAATTATTTGTGAACAAAAACAGCTCTGGGACAGCCTAGGAGTCTAGGTAAGAAACCTCAGCAGCACAGTGCAACAAAAACTCTGAGAGTAATGCTAGAAAGGGAAAGAAGAACAGCCTCATTTTGCTTGGTGTATCTCATTCTGGGCCAGCACTGCTCAACACCAAGAGGAAACAATCCAGCTAGAAAGAGATTCCCTGCTGGGAAAGGGGATTATGGTGAGTGGCCAGCTTTTCTGGCTTTTTAGGGGCACTGAAGGAATAACTCCTCTTAATTCACCCCACCAAGAGCTGAGACATACAGGGCTAGCCAGAAACAAGTAGAATGGGGAACTACCAATATATCAGTCAAGAGCCACAGGGATCTGCTGCTCTGCAAAGTATTCTAGCATTTTATGCCATTGAGGAAATCAACTTCTGGGCCAGCCTCTGTGGACCCTCAACAGACTCCACTGGTTGTCACCCTATAAATATTTGAGTTTGCAGATGATAGCTGTCTGAATCCCTCCCACTCCTTGCCGTCCAAACCCCAGCAAAAGGCCAGGACCTGGACCAGCAAATAGTCCAGGCCTCTGTGGTTGTGTGAGTGCAAGACACCAGCTTAGATCCATGAAGCCGATCCCTCTTCATGTTGGCACTCAGGGCTAGTCCCCCCAGCTGTGAACCTGAACACTCCTGACCCAGTTCTTATCACTGTCTTTACTGTTGTCTGTAGGCCTGTGGATGACTAAGGGTGCACACTGGCTTGCATCCCTGGGCTCACGCACATCTAGTCTTTCCATTGTGCACCTGCATGCCCCAGCCTGATTCCCGTCACCTGCATCCACTGCTGTGTATCCACTTACTTCACGACCCCGCAGCCACAATACTGTACACCAACAACCAGGGCCCCATCAATTGCTTGTGAGCTTAGATATGGGCCTATTTCCTTTCACTGGCCAGTACTTCTTGGCTTAAATGCAGCTAGCTCTCCATCTATGTATCTGTGTCTCTCTAGTCTGAAACCTGTCATGAGCCTCCACTGCTATACATGCACAAAACCACGCAGCCATAAGAGAACATACAAGCAGCCATGGCCCAGGCAGTTGCTAGAGTGCCCACAGTTGACTGTGGCCCTTGCTGCTGACCGTGTGTGTGTATGTGTGTGTGTGTGTGTGTGTGTGTGTCCACAACTCATCTCTGCTGCTACACAAGCACCTGCAGTGGGCTCCCACAGCCAACTGTGTGCATACTATGATTCCAGCTACCATGGCTGCCTGCCCTGGTTCTTGATCATTGAGCCTGGAGATGCCACTGAGGACTTTTACAATTCTCATAGTGTCTGTAGAACCCTATAGCAATTACCAAACACCAGGAAACATCTGCCTCCTTCTCTGCCCCCCAGATCCAGAGACAACATGTGCTCGTGCACCAGGAAACTGCCCCACTAGACCCAGGGCCAGAGCATGCTCCGTTATGTCTTCACATGCAGGTGAAGGTCTTATTTTAGTAGAGTCAGTCCATTAGAGCAAATCAAAACCAAAATGAGAAATCAGCTCACCTGTTAGAATGTGTATTATCTAAAAGACAAGAGATCTCAAATGCTGTTGAGGTTATAAAAAACAGGAAATCCTGGTGCACTATTAGTAGAAATGTAAATTGGTCTGGCCATTATGAAAAACTTTTCCTCAAAAAGTTAAAAATAGATCTACCTTATGATCCTTGTACATCTGAAATGAATATGACACTGTATGTTAACTAACTTAATTAAAATAAAAACTTAAAAGTAAAACAAAAACTATATCTCCAGCAAGGTCCCAGACTGGCCACTAATTCAATTCATATTCAAATAATACTGCAAAGACTTTAAAAAGAGAACTGATATTGCAGGCAGAGCACAGAAAAGGCTGATCAGTACTTGCAGCCTCAGTCCAACCGGGCTGAGGGTTGATTGTTTGTTGAAACAGAAATGCCATTCTTCACAGGCATTACGCAACAGGCAAAATCTTGTAAGACAATATTCAAAATATCCAGGATATAATCCAAAGTTATTTGGAAAATGAAGAACAAGACCATGTCAACGCACTTGAGAAAAGACCACCAATATGTTCTCCACTGAGATGACATAGATGTAAGTATCTGACAAAGATTTTTAAAGTAACTATTATCGGGACACCTGGGTGGCTCAGTCAGTTAAGCATCCGACTTCAGCTCAGGTCATGGTCTCACGGTTCGTGGGTTCGAGCCCCGTGTCAGGCTCTGTGCTGACAGCCAGCTCTGGGCCAGGACCCTGGTTTGGATTCTGTGTCTCCCTCTCTCTCTGACCCTCCCCTTCTCACCCTGTCTCTCACTCTCAGATAAGTAAAACATTAAAAAAATAAAGTAACTATTATAAAATACTCCAAAAAAATTAGTGCCTAAAAGACTACCCCAGCACCACAACAAAGTTTTCACTTTATGGGCTCAATAGCTAAATTGAGATGAAAGAGAAAAGTCAGTGAATGTGAAGATAGATCAATATTCCATTTAAACTTGTAAAACACTGGTTCTACATAGACTTCCAAAAGTTAAGTATGTATGTTATAATCATTATATCAAACATGAAAAAAAACTACAAAGATATACATACAAAACATAGTTGGTGAATTAAAATGGGATACTAAGAGCGGAAACAATCTCAAAAAAGGCAGAAAATGGGAAAGAGTAATAGCAAACAGAAATCAAATAAAAATGGTTGACCTAAATTCAAATCAATAATTATAGTAAAAGTCTAATTGCATTGAGAGCCTAGGCACAGCAAATAAAATACAATTAAAATACAGCAACTAAAATACAATTAAAGATCATCAGAATGGATTAAAAATGACCCAAGAAATTCACCTTAAATACAATGATATAGGTACATTAAAAATAAAAAATACATATACCATACAAATACTAATCAAAAGAAGGATCAAATGACTATATCAATATAAGATAATACAGATTTCAGAACATAGAATAAGCATATACAGGTCAAATTACTGTCAGAATTGTATCCGAATCCCTTGTTGATCTCCCAACAACTACTGTATACAACTTCCAACGCTCTTAATCCATTCACTAGCTGTTGCATTTCGTAGCTTTTAGAAGTATCTACTGCAATCTTAATCATTGTTTGGTCTTTGTTTATCCTACTAAATTGTAAACTCCATGACAGAAGTGTCCACACTTGTCTTGCTCTGAAGTCCTTGGTATGTACAACCAGTGTTTGGTATAGAACAGATAGATATCAAATGTAAAATCTGAATGTGTAGGTTAATTCTCTTTCTCGAGATTGTTATATTATTTTTAAAATCTCAAAGCAACACAAGAAATAATTTAATGCCACGACTAGATTTTAAACTCATTGTCTAGGGGCGCCTGGGTGGCTCATCGGTTAAGCACCCGACTTTGGCTCAGGTTGTGATCACACGGTTCGTGGGTTCGAGCCAAGCATCGGGCTCTGTGCTGACAGTTAGCTCAGAGCCTGGAGCCTGCTTCGGATTCTGTGTCTCCCTCTCCCTCTCTCTCTGACCCTCCCCTGTTGACGCTGTCTCTATCTCTCTTTCTCAAAAAAAAAAAAAAAATTAAACTCATTGTCTAAAACTTCAGTTTCATTAGTATTCTTCCACGGTTAATTCTTGAAATACTTTCATATGAATGTCTGTACATAATGTGAAGAGAATACTTAAATGCTCATTCTTTTTACTCTGGCATGTTATTCACATTGTATGACTATGGATTTTTAAAGGTGGCAAAACTCAGTCGAAACTTACGTAGGCTTTCCTGAATATCAGAAAACATGCTGAATTTGGGTTCTTGACACAGTCCAAGAGAATTCAGAATTTAATTGTCTATTACAATTAAAATAAAAAAGGAAAGCAAAAAGGAGTATAAGGAGGAAAAGAAGAAGTAAAGTCACTGTTAGTCTTGTGGATTTTTTTTAATGTTTGAAGAATCACAGAATCTGAGATGGATATAAATTTAAAAGTCAATATTAACCTGATTCAATTCAATTCAATTTGGTAAATACACTGAAATGTGCTTTCAGAAGACACTGAATGATTAAAGATACAGAGCAATACAGGTCTGTTTAGCAAAGATGGTGAATCCAGATCATCTTGGCATCTAGTGTCAGGATGAAGTGCAAATAAATGTGAGATAGCATAGCCTCCATCACACTCTAGACATTTGATAAATATTTGTTGAATGGATGAAAGGTAAGCTACAGACATGTTTTTAGGGATTTTTGAAGACCATTACATTGTGTACTTAGCACTGCTACTTCTCATCTGTCTTTTTATAGAGATGTTCTGCTTCTCTGCTCCCAGGGGTAAACAAGATCCTTGTCTAGGCCAAGGATAATTGCCTCATTCAAATGTACACAGTGACTTTACAAAAGATAAACATATGACCCAAGTTAAGCCAACCAATGATTTCGATAGAAATTTTCAATTTGCAACTGGGAGAAACAAGTTTTTTGATTTGTGTATTGTTTGTTTTATTTTTTCTTTCTTTTCTGTCCCCAAGTTTCCTGCCACTCTGTGAGTCTGAGTAGAGCGCTATCAATCATCACACCTACTCCTTTATCTACTGATCCTCAGTACAAAAGAGAAGTAGGTAGACATTCACATATGAACAGCAGCATAAAGGAAGGATTGCTTTCCCCCCAAATTGTTTTTCTTTTTTCATTTGGAAAAAAATCAATTACATATTTGCTAGTATAAGAGATTATTTTTATTGTTTTGAGGTCTAAACTGCTTTGAGTATCTAAAGAAAGCTATTTCTATCTTCTTTACATTCTTATACATTAACAGATTTTTAAAAAAATTTTTAATGTTTATTCATTTTTGAGAGAGAGTGAGAGAGTGAGCAGGAGAGGGGCAGACAGCAGGAGACACAGAATCAGAAACAGGTTCCAAGCTCTGAACTGTCAATGCAGAACCCGATGTGGGGCTTCAACCTACAAACTGTGAGATCATGACCAGAGCCAAAGTCAGATGCTTAATCGACTGAGCCACCCAGGTGCCCCTACATTAACAAATTTGACTGATATTTTGGCTCTTTTGATGCCCATCCATGTAATATTTTTGGACGTTATATACTCCAAAGTAGTGACAGGAACTTGGGCAAGTGTAAGAAATAGACATTTGCCTTATTCACGCATCAACTTTTATTTCTAATGCTTCTTCATTGATATATTGGTGAAATCTTTAACCAGGTAGCAAATATATGCCTGCATTCTTATTTTATTCCCCTTATTTAATTGTATCTGTCTTCTTTATCTTTGTTATGGTCAATCCATATTACATGAGTACAAAATTCTCAGTTTCTTCAACTAAACTGTCTCAAAATTCATAGTGTAATGGCAGAATCTTCTTCTGTAGCATTTCTGGAGTACTAGACTTCCAGTTTCAAGTAACTATTGCACTGGCCACATAAAGCTTAGGTGTTCAAGTTGGACTCTGCACAGCATTTACTTTTCATTTTTATAGAAGAATGGCTTTTCTCTCTGTGAACTTCACTTCAGAGCCTCTTTAATTATTCTATATGCTCAAAGGTATGTGCTATGAAAGCAGATGTGGTTTATTTTCTGGTCTGAATTATGGTGAGATGAGAGCTGACTTCAAATTGGTTGAATCTGAAAATGTTTCTCTCCTGCATGAAGAGTCTTTCTATCTTGTAGTTATTCCTAACTTGTTGCATCTGCCTGAGGTGTTACTACTGTAAAACTTTATATCTGGTACTTTAAGGGTTACATTGGCACAATGCTAATTTTAATCATTTTTTTAACCTATCACCCTTGTAAGCTGAAACTTCTCATTGTTCTGAATAATTTCCAAGTCAATTAATTGTTAAAGGATTCTTTGTACAATCATCAAATGGGTGATAGTGCTTGGGTATTTTACTAAGTACTGACTGCATGCAGAAAAAGTCCTAAATACTCATCCAGACACCTCAGAATCTTGATAAACTATGTCAGCAAATGCAGCCAAACTTCTATTTTTCCCCTTTACTCTTTAAAATTTTTCTTAAATTATCAGCAATAATAACACCTAAAGTGTGTTAGATGTATATTTTTTCAGACATTGGGTTAAATGTTTAATCTTATTTTAATACTCCAGTCATCCTTTGAAGTGGGAACTATTATTTTTCCCATTTTATACATAAGGCAGCAGAGGTCTAGATGGATAAAGTAATTTGCTCAAGATCACAAAAACACTCTTACTTCAGTGAAAAATCTATGATGGTAGGACTTTTGTTGGGTTGGTTTATTGATGGATCTTAAAAATATACCACAGTACTGAGACACAAATAGGATAGTTTTTTTTTTTAACATGATGAATATTGTCCAGATATACTGTCCACCATTTTTCACTTTTTTGTATGTCTTGAGTAGGGATAGAGGTGACTTTATGAGCTATTTTAACTGATCTCCCTTGCTTTATAACTTCTTGTTGGGGTCATGTAATAATATGTCTGTGAGAGATCTAGGCCAACATGAAGCTATTCTCCCACTTGCTCCATGTGGCACGGCAGATTCATTGATGCTTCAGGTACCTGTTACAGAGAGCAGTGCCATATAGAGCCATTGGCAGAACTCTCTAAGTGCATTGAAGCAAAGTTGTACCTTCATCTGAAAATAACTATTCCCTTTTTACAAAACAGCTTTTGGCTTGTTATAGAGCCTACTAGAAACTGAAAACCTGACTATTAGTCAGCAACTTAGCATGGGACCTGAGATGCTAAGCATGAACTTCATTGTATTTAATCCAATAAATTGTAAGATTGGGCACCATACTCAGCATAATTCCATTACCAAATGGAAGTGGTATATATGTTATTGGGCTTGAAGAAATAATGAAGGTATAAGTAAATTACATGGCCAAGTAAATTACATACCAAATGGAAGTGGTATATATGTTATTGGGCTTGAAGAAATAATGAAGGTATAAGTAAATTACATATAGATGCCCATGACCCTTAAATTACCTCCACCCTCTGAACCTGAAACTATAAACTGATAAGGCTTTTCTATAAATAGTACCACTGTAAAGGAAATGACTATAGTATTATATAGCTCTTCATAGTTGCCTCAGAGAAGAATAG